TCAAAACACCGCTTGCTTCAAAATCCATAGGACAAAGATGCTTTTCGAATTTAGTACCAATTAAGATTTTTCAATTTTATTCCTGTCGAAATAAAAGAGACATCTTCTTATACAGTGTGTCCCACTTACCTTGCTCACCATGGGTATCTTTTTAACGGTGAGAGATACGAGGTCGGTTAAAAGACACCAAATGTTGAGTTTGTCAAGGCCAACTATAATGTGAAAAAATATTTTGATAAAATCTATTCGTTTTTGTTTTATACGCAAAAAACAGATTTCGATCATTTTCATGTCTCCTCCGTAACTTCTTTATTCATGAAAATATTCGGATAGGAATTTCACATTCTAATGGCAGTTTTTCAAAGTGATTTCGAGAAAAATATGAAATTTATACCAACTCTTCTAGAATTAGAGATATCAGCACCAACTTTAGTTTTTCAAATGTAGGTCATAGCTCACTATGACTTACTTACAAATAACTTTTTTTTCTCTTTCAGATGATATGTCGCAGTAATAGTTTTGTGTTGATAACAACGGAGTTATCGTCATTTATACAAAAACAAAAAATTATTCGGAAGCCGCCATCATGAATTTATGAATTTTAACAAAAAAATTATGACCTAGGACCTCAAAAACCTCCACTTACCAATTTTGAATGGAATCGGACCAAATCTTGTCCGCCATCTTGGAGCAGCCATTTTTTTTTTATTTCAACAAAAATTCCATAACTCCGATTAACTTGAAATTTTGCAGGTGTTCATAATTTCGGTGACAATACATTATGGAATTTCTGTTGACATTTTAAAAAATGGCTGCTCCAAGATGGCGGACAAGATTTGGTCCAATTTCATTCAAAATTGGTAAGTGGGGGTTTTTGAGGTCGGAGATCATGATTTTTTTGTCAAAATGTATAAATTCAGGATGGCGGCTTCCGAATAAATTTTTGTTTTTGTATAAATGACGATGACTCCGTTGTTATCAACACAAAACTATTACTGCGACATATCATCTGAAAGAGAAAAAAAAGTTATTTGTAGCTAAGTCATAGTGAGCTATGACCTACATTTGAAAAACTAAAGTTGGTGCTGATATCTCTAATTCTAGAAGAGTTGGTATAAATTTCATATTTTCTTCGAAATCACTTTGAAAAACTGCCGTCAGAATGTGAAATTCCTATTTGAATATTTTCATAAATGAAGAAGTTACGGAGGAGACATGAAAATGATCAAAATCTGTTTTTTGCGTATAAAACAAAAACGAATACATTTTATCGAAATATTTTTTCACATTTAAGTTGGCCTTGACAAACTCCACATTTGGTGTCATTTAACCGACCTCGTATCTCTCACCGTTAAAAAGATACCCATGGTGAGCATGGTAATTGGGACATACTGTAGAGGGTTCAACAAAAAGCTAAAAAAATATTTATTTAATTCAAACAGACTTACTGTACATGAGCTCGTGGAGGCTGGTGTAACGGTGTAATCAGATATCATTCCATCTCAGCTCATTAGTTTAATGTCTTCCTTCAATTTCTCCTTAAATATTTTCTATATGTTAAATTGCTTGTTTATTTTGTAAATTTCATTTTTCATATTTATTGACCACTATGTTGGTTGTACTAGGCATGTGTATTTTATCAAACTTCAATTGCCTTCATTATATTATTTTTTTCTACTCACAAACACGTTACCATGGCAACACGATTTCTTAAACACATCACCATGGCAACACAGTTCATTAAACACAGCTTCAGTAATTTGAGACATGTCTGGCCTGTCAATTGTATTGACTGTCAACTGTTATTTTCAAATTTTGTATCAGAATTATTCAAACAATATTCGTTTGTATCAGAATTCTTCATTGAAAATATATGCGAAAAGTAGACGAAAGTGAAATCGAAGAGAATGTTCTGATGGTACTCGCATATCTCCAAGAAGTGTAAAAATGAAGCATCCATCTTCGAGAACAATTTATTTATTCTGCGCTAAGCATGACAATGAACGAGAAACAAAGGTTAGTAAGCAATGGACTGGACACATCTACAACCAATATCACTTCTTGTCTCGCTGGTTGCATGCAGTTGCATGTATTATGTTGTCAATTCCCATTCCATTTGAATTATTTTGTAGGTTAGCGGGAATAGCAGGTATATTTTAATGTAATTTTCGAAGTTCGTAGAAAAAGCATAGTATGTAACGCGTTCATAAACTCTTCTAGACACTCGTTTATTAAACACTCGCTCCGCTCTGCTCCGCTCGTGCTTAAAATACTCGTTACTAAAAGGACGTTTATAACACTTGTTATATAATATACTATTTTATTCGCTTCACTCAATATTTATCGATACTAATTTTAAACATAGGCTACACTCACACCACAGACAGTCTTTGACTTTGTAGTTTTCTGTTTATTTGTGAAAAAATTGTTATCGCCGTCATCTAAATGAAATTGTATTTACACATTTTTTTATACCAATGAACTATTATTATTATTATTATTATTATTGTCTGAGCCAGTTTTACACAACTAGAACTAGGATCCCGAAATCATCTCTTTTTAATACTTTTACGCTTTTTTATTGAATACGACTGTACGTACTCACAACAATCAAATTATGGAATAAATCTATCAAATCAGTCATAATAGTTTTCTTATCAGTCTATTAATCATTCCAGAATTACGTCATTTGACAGGTTGCTGAGGGGCAAACATTGTATTTTGTCAAGATCTGTCATAGAAAACCAGAATGAGTGGGATCGTTTTCCTTGGAATCCGAGTTGGAACCAGAAAGAATTTCATAATTTTGTTTGGTGAAACTGTTATTATATTGTGGATGTGGCAGAGGGACGGCCTGGGCAATGCTCATCAAAGGTAACATAACAGATAGTTTATATGCCCCTCAAGAAACCATGTCAAAATCACGTGTTCTAGAATGATCAATTGGATACTTTAGAAGAATTGATGTACAGTGTGTTGAGTTTTCGATGTTTTTGTGCGATATCTCAGTTATCTAATGAAGAGAAAAACTCATATAGTCTCACTCCAAATAATTTGTAATAATAATAGCTAAATTTTTCGACTCCTAGGACAGGTTACCTAATCGTTCTGACAAGTTGTTTATCTCTAAATATACAGAGAAGTGCACAAAAAAGTCCAGGAAGGTAAATTTTGAATTATTCGAGATAGGGTTTTGAAAATTGGTGGGCATCTAGTATACCAAATTGCTCATTAATTGACGAAACAATTTTTGTTTTATTACTTCCGGTTCTACTGGAAACGACCCCAACTTTTGATTTTATAAATGGGTCACCCTGTGTTGTATTCCATAAGTCCGTAAGTCAGAATCTGAATATTTAATTATTCTCGGAGTATTTTCGTATTAATAAATATTACCTCGTTGAATGCCAAATAGTTTTTGTGCACTCATATATAAAACTAGTTCATATTCATTTTCATTGATAGACAACATAAACAAAAATTCAAAATCTACATAACATAACCTTCGTAACATCTTCTTCTTCTTCCTTTCGATTTGGATGGCCTTAGCTACCTGGGCTATCTGGCCAAGTACACGCATTCACTATCTCATAATTCTCATACCCTCTGTAGAGGTTCCGACAGTTCTAACAATTTTTTGCACTTCATCTCTAACAAGGGACATGTTACTGTAAAGCATTATCTAACTATTGACAAAATTACATAAACTACTTCATTTCTTTATTTTCACCTAGAATGTCATGGGCTTTTGACGCTAGTAACTTGGGCTATCTGGCCTGTGGAAGGACTTATTGTTTTGGTCTTCTGGCTCTTGTCATATAGGTCGCGTGCACGAAGACCGACCCTGGAGGCAAAATATTGAAACACAACCTCATTCTTCTGTGAATTATTGAAACACAACCTCACTTTTTTATTTGGTTACAGATAAGATACAGAGGAATCAAAAGGTTGAAATAGTTTTTCACAATATTTTGGCATACGAATCGTGTTTCTTGCGTTATTCATTAATTCAAGCATGCCTTCGCATTGTGCTGTTGTACAATGCACAAAAAATGCAGCAAGAGACTAGGGAATATGATTTTTCAGGTAAATAGTAATCTCACATAGTTAGCATTATGAAATGTTGTCATTCCTTATTGAAATTCCTTCTGCCTTCTGCCACTTCTGCAATACAAGCTAATGCTGCTAATAGATTGAAAATGTCTACAACACACACGATCGTCAGCATGTCAGACCAGTCATACCAATTGATTGCATGAATCCAATCTTCTTGCATTATTCTAGAAATTTCAGGTATATTTCTATTAGCTGATCCTATTGCAGAAGGAATTCTGATGAGAAATCAGAGAAATAACCAAATTTCAAAAATGAAAACTATGTGAGTGACTATAGTATAGGTACTTACTTTTGAATCATAATGTACCATCCGGATTTCTTCATCTTCTGCTGCAGTTTTTGTGCATTTTACAACAGCACAATGTGATGGCATTAGCGAATTGATGAATAGCAGAAAAATACGATTCATATGCCAAAATAATTGTGGAAAACTATTTCAATCACTCATAAACAAATATGTTTTGCCTCCAGGGTCAGTCATCTGACAGTTCTTGCACGCGACCTATAAAACTACTCTTATGAACCTAGAAAAATTCTTCCACCATGTTTTTGTTTGTTAGTGTTTTCAATGGGGAATTCTTCGAGCGACAATAACAATGGTTCGCAAAAATCGTTGATTTGGGAAGGTGCAAGGATTATAACCTCTAAATACTCTCCTTGGGAAAGGTGAACGTGGTTACTGGTTGACGTAATGACGTACCTACTTGTTGATTTCTTTTCAGCAAGATGCTAGGAAAACAAGAAATAAGGAAAAAAGAAGAAGACGAGACCGCATTTAAGTTTGGTTAAGTTTCTTTATTTTGTCAACATTCACTACTGGTCAACATAAACAAAATCAATGAAAATAATTATTTTTTGGTAGTGTCAAGAATACTTATAGAAAAATGAACTCCGAATCCGGTGACATAGATATATTAGATCAATACATGAACATTTCAAATAAACTGAAGAAGTAATGAATAACAAAACTACACCTCACTAGAAGAGCTGAAATCCACTAATCCAGACTATTTGTAGACGATTCTTGAAAAAACCTAATGTTACTGAAGCCTGTGAATCCTTCACAAGCTTGGCAAAGCAATGTGAAACGCAGGAATTACCCCAATATGCAGGTCTATGCTGGATTGCAGCAGCTAGATGTGAAGGTTCTTTACTGAATAATACAGGAGAGACATCTTGTTTAGTGCAATCAGCTAGGCAGCTTTTCAAAGCTGAAGAGAGAGATATTAGCATGGGATGTAAAAATGTACCTGGAGAATATTTCCAGGTTAGTACCAACACCATTTTAATTAGATATTAAGTAGGTACTGAAGAAGAATTCAATATGTTTCTAAATGACCATCCTAGACCAATTATTGATTTAATTTTGTAGTCAGTATTAGAATTTTTTTAGGCTGGTTTGAGTTGTTATGCCCATGCAGCTAGTAGGTATCCAGAAAACTGTTCAATGCCTATAAGCCTAGATCTGGAAATAGTTGACTTCCTGAAGAGAATTGGAAGGCCTCAGTATATCCAGGATTACCTGGATGATTCCATCAAATTGTCCAGAGACAGAGTGGGCACTAAAATTCATTGTTTGGAATTACTGGCCTCACATTTTATTAATTCTGGTTAGTGTAGTTTGATGTTCCATTTCTTTGTCACGTTTTCACACTCAACAGAAAGAGAATTCTTCCTAGCACTGTAGTTTGGAAAACTGTTAGTAATTTGAAAGTTCGTTTTTATTTATTCATTACTTTATTTAAATAGATGTAACAAAACAAATTACACATTCCCATTGCTACTTTTTTGTTCCACAAGATGGTGTTATCAGATTATCAAACTGACCTTTTGCTTTAGAGCTACCATCTTCAACTTTGTTTTTTTTTACATACATTCTTGAATTTTTTATTATGGATTTTAACCTGGCCCCACTCAGGTGTAAAATTGGTACATTATCACCCAGGTGGGGTCTAATGTACCAGAGATGTACCCCATAATTCGAAACAGGAGGAAAAAAACTATTGGGAATATTTCCAGATTTGTGTGTGAAATGAGTTTTCAGATGTATTTACTTCATGGTTATAAACAGAAACTTTTATAATAAGTTCAATTCATGAGAGATCATCAAAGGCTGATGATAAATTCTCACTGGAAAAAATATGATATCTTTGAAAACCAAGTTGAAAACTGTTTAAAAAATATACAACACTTGATTCTGTCAGATTTCATGCAAAACTAATTATAAAAATGTTCAAGTAATCAGCTAGAAAAGTAGCATGTAGTATATGAAAAAACAAAAAATGATTCATTTCCTTATGGGAATTTACATGTATCTCTCAGAATAAAATATATATCTTTATTACACAGGTGGGGCTTCTGAGACCACAAAGCTGTTTGGTTTAGTGCACTGTCACTATCTTGGTAGCTAACTATAATGATTTAATTTGCACCAGATTACAGAATGAAGTGTTTTGGGAAGCTATTTGCAACCAAGGAACATGAGCATACATTAAAATTTAAATTTCCTAACGTTTGGCGGCAAATTTGAATTTCTGCAGATTCATTCAAAGCATTGATTGACATATAAACTCCTAGGTAATTCACTCGGTTATTCATTATTAAATAAATTATCAAAAATAATATTATCAAAACTCCTTCATCCATAGAACGGCTAGGCTCTGGAATTCATTGCCTGAGGAAGTGTTCCCAACAACATATAATCTCCAGAAGTTCAAAAAAAATTCCAATGCCTACCTCCTATCCCTATCCTCCCTAGGAACGCACGATGTTCTTGAACATTATAGGGATTCCCTTTCGTGCGCTTCAAGCGATAAAAAAAAACACTGCATATACCGGGTGGCTACGGAAGTATTGCCTACGGAATATCTCAGTTATTGTATGAAGTAGGTTCGTGAAATTTGAAGCGTCGATATAATGACATAAGAGCTAGAATTTAGGCATTTTGACATGTCGAAGTTAACTTCCGGTCTGATCAGAAGTAACATCAACTTTCTTATTTTTAATGGACAACCTATTTTTTTTTCTTTTCGCTTTATTCAGCATTCAATTCCCTTTCTGATGACATATCACAAGTTGGTATCTAACCAGAAACTAGATCAGAAAAAAATTATTATTGAAATTCACCGAGTAGGCCGTGGAAGCAAAATGAAAGCCAAAAAATGACTTTCTATCATATCATTAGAAAGGAATGGTTATGCTGAATAATACAAGGCAAGAAAAAGTTGTATGTTCCTATTTAAGTTATGGACCTACAGAGTATTGTTTTTTCCCAATTTTTCCAATATTTTTTTTGTAGCTTTTTATAACGCCGACGAATGAAAATAAAATATCACAGTAGTGGCAACTGTTATCAAGTGACGTATGGTTTCCATAGCCAACTTTTCAATTTTTGGCTTTCATTTTGCTTCCACGGCCAACTCGGTGAATTTCAATAATAATTTTTTTCTGATCTAGTTTCTGGTTAGATACCAACTTGTGATATGTCATTAGAAAGGGAATTGAATGCTGAATAAAGCGAAAAAAAAAATAGGGTTTCCATTTAAAATAAGAAAGTTGATGTTACTTCCGGCCAGACCGGAAGTTAACTCCGACATGTCAATATGCTCAAATTCTAGCTCTTATGTCATTATTTCGACGCTCTAAATCTCACAAACCTACTTCATACAATAACTGAGATATCCCGTAGGCAATACTTCCGTAGCCACCCGGTATACATGAAATCATTTAATAAGTAAAGACTTATTAAACTGTATAAAAACTGAAATTAACTGATATCTCACAAAAAAAATATATTTTCATGTTGAGATTTTTGCAATTGTGAAAAGGGAATCTATTAACAAAAATTTATAAGGACTCATCAATCATAGAAACTCCAAACTTATTTCTCTAGAGACATTCTTCGATTTTTATTTCTTCAAGTCTTGAAGTTTTTTGTTGGTTGTTTTTCCTCAATCAAATCTCATCAAACAGTATTCAGTATTTTTGTTTTTGTGCTGGATATTTTCATAGAACACAAAACATTGGATCTGATTTGACTTACTGACATTGTGATGTCATACGCCAAACTGTCAGGTCAAATCATTGAATGAATCATGTTCTGTGGTATTGGGGTGATGATACACAGACAGAACATACGACCGCACAACCACAAAGTTCCTGTGTAGAGATAATGATTGATCTCCAACAATTATTAATGATATGGATCAATTTTTCAATTGTAGTAATGATGTAAGGACAGCATCTAAATTCAGATCTTTTCTACCCTGAACGAGAGAGAGGAAAGTTCTCTTCTCTTCCATCTTTCTCTTCAGTGTCACCAACATGGCCATATTGAAATATACAGGGTGTAGAAAATTCAGGAGCATGTTGCTGACGTCAAAATAAGAAGAAAAGTTCGTATAAATGTATGTCCGAAAGTTATTTGTTTCTGAGATACAGAGTGTCAAAGTTGGATTTTTTATTTTTTGTTGACTATTCCACTCTTGATCTCGAGAACCAATCAGAATCGACCATTTTCACGGTTTCTTCTGTATTCTAGCGATATTTTTTGTTCATCAAATTTTATCGGACTTGCTCCACCAATACAGAAGCGGAATTCACCCACACCTGACCAACTAACCTCGTTTATCAGCGATAAAATTTTGACATCGTGTCTGGTCAAGATTGCTTTGGATTCAAATCTGAGACAATAACCTAAGTTCCTACTTTACTTTATTTACTTATAATTTGCGTTAGTGAGATATTTTGTACGAAAGGCGAGACAATTTTATTCTGGCTGGACGTTTCATGTGTAATTTAAAAAGTTTGCATATTTGTTAACGGTCTGACACAACTATAATAGAATTCAAATTCCTTTTTGGAAGTAATCTTCTTCTATTACTCAAGTTATTGTGACTGACTGATATAATTACTAGATGATTAATTACTAGATGATGTGGCGCAACTGTTAGGGTTGTTGCGCGAGAATACGAAGGTCGATGGTTCGAGCCCTCGGCGACGATATTTTTTTTTTGATTATTCCATGTCACATAAATTCAATTCATTTTGTTTGAATTAAATAGTCATTGTATACAATCTTTCGAGAGCAACCATCTCCAAGATAATAAAAAAATACTGTTTATCCAAATTTTACATTCCACTTTGTGAATATCTATAAGTAGGTAGTTAATTTCTAAAAAAGTAAATTCTGTATTTCATTCTGTATATTATTATCATTATATTCTTCTTCGCAGTTCGAGTTTTCCTATTTCGTTTATATATTGTCTAATTCAATAATGAAATAGTCATACGAATACAACTCGTGATACAATTTTTCCTGGAAATATTCGTCGATTGACATACTCCAGCTTGCTGCTCTAATTTCGCTCATGACATTGATCCAAAACTACTCGCCTACGGCTCGTTGTTTTGATAACAATGTCATTCACGAAATTACTAGGCAACAAGCTGTCGTAACAATCACCGAATATTTCCGGCAAAATATTATCACTTGTGGTATTATGTATGATAAATTTCGAAATAATTGAGATATTCGAATAAAATTTGGTATCTAGGAGTATTTTTCCAATGACAATATCAAATTTTATGTTATTTTGTCTCTTTCGTGGGGGTGGCGCCACCTTCATGTCTTTTGAGTCTTTTGAAAAGTCATAACTTCTTTGTGCGTACCTGTATCACGTTTTATAGTTGAAAAATAGATTTCTAGAACACTTTTGTAGAAATTATATTCCAATTAGAGGTCGCTGCGAGCAACTTCTTTTTGAGTTATTGGGATTTGAAATAATCGATGCATTTGAATTATTTCCATGGGACTTGGTAAGATTTTGTGTAATATTTCTCGTGCTTGTCTGTGGATCTTCTTCGATTGCCTGAAGAACAGCTTCTTCAATTTCTGGAGTCCTAGTAGTCAACGGTCTGCCTGTCACTGGAGCTTTTTTAAAGGATCCAGACTCCAGAAGACGCCGTAAAAGGTTTCTGAATGTCTTGTAATTTGGCAGTCAATGATAAGGGATTTTTTCATTGTATCGTTATTTTTTCAAATTGAAAGACTTCAAAAGAGTAGGTACAAAGAAGTAAGAATAATCATCTTTTGCCGTTATTCCAATGTTGAATCTAAGAGAATATTGAATGAAAGAAGAAAAATACTTTGGCGTATATTTTCTGATATTTCGAAGATGCTTAAATATATTTCTATTCTATTCTATTCTATTCTATTTTATTCTATTCACTTCTTAGAGGCGACTAACGAACCCCCTGGAAATAAATCAAATGCATCGATTATTGTTTCAAATCCCAATTGCTCGAAAACAGTTGCTTGCTGCGATCTCTACCAGAAATATATTTTTCACGCAAAAGTATTTTAGAAATCTATTTTCTACGGTAAAATGTGATACAGGTACGCACAAAAAAGACATGTAGGTGGCGCCACCCCACGAAAGAGACAAACCAACATCAAATTCGCTAGTGTCATTGAAAAATACCCCTAGATACCGAACTTCATTCGAATATCACAATTATTTTGAAATTTATCATCAAACAACAAAAATAAGAATTCGACTGTGACACTCTGTATCTCAGAAACGAATAACTTTTCGGACATATATTTATACGAACTTTCCTTCTTATTTTGTCGTCAGCAACATGCTCCTGAATTTTCTACACGTACTTAAGAAACATCCTGTAGAGAGATCCGATAAATATTTCCTTGTCTAACATCTACTCTGCGCCACTGGACTATTTTCGATGTTATAATGATGACATGTCTATGTCATAAATAATGTCATTGACTAATAACCTTTCGAATTTTTTAAATGAAATTTCGAATTATATCATACTTATTTTGACATCATTTGTTAATATCGTTGAATTTGACTCTCTGCTGACTTCAAAAATAGTTCAGTGGCACAAACTATAGATGATAGACAAGGGCAGATTTATCGGACCTCTCTATATTTCAATGCGGCCACGTTGGTGGCATTGAAGAGAAAGCAGGAAGAAGAGAGAACTTTCCTCTCTCTCGTTCGAGGTAGAAAAGAGCTCAATGGGCGTGTACACCGGCCTTAGTAGAATTTTCTACTCAAACCATGTTTATAATGATCCTTTTATACATAAATAATGATTGACGACATAATTCGATCGAAAAATTAACTGGAATGTTTTATTTTTGGACATAAATAATGGTACCATCTGAAAACGGACCCTCTTATGACGTAGAAACCTCATCTCGCCATAGTTAAAAGAAAATACCAAACGCCCGACGGAGACTGAGGCAACTGATATATTGATTCTTTCAACTGTGATCTCGCGCTAATTCACTCTGTCAGAAATCATGTATCATTCATCTCTGTCTGGAATAGTCTTTTTTCAGTATTAGGGTTTTGACGTCACATCATCGCCTCGTTTTCAGAGGTCCGAAAAATCGGGGATTTCAATAATTTTTCATAAAACGTAGGGAGCTCACAGCAAGAAACGGTTTGCGGTGGTGAGAAAGTTTGGGTGAGTTCTATCGAATTATGAAATAAATTTTTTTTGTGATATAAGCCCATAAGGACAATTCGTCTCGTGGGCGATGCCTCGCTCACAAACTCACTCAGTTCTCTGGAACACCGTAGAAAAGTTGGCGATCTGGCTCTATTTTATAGATATTTTCATAGACGATGCTCTTCTGAAATATCAACAATAATTGTTCCTCCCTTGGAAGTCCCCGCGAGATTAACCCGTCAAGTTGAGACTTCGCACCCCTTCGTGGTCACTTTGGAGACCTGCAGAACATCTAAAATTTGTTTTTTTGTTCTAAAATTTGTTCTATCCGTCATTCGGTTGCCCCCTTACGAGCAACCCTCAAAAGTCTTCGAAAGTCTTGTGCGAGCAAGGAATGACGGGGGCCTTACCTTTTAACGTGTGATCCCAAACACTTTCTTGGGTCATCAGAAAAATTTCTGCAGTCGACGGGGATCGTACCCACGACCGGCAAGCGAATGCGAATTAGAATATAGACACTCTGTCCGCACGGCTACCTGGCCACCCATCTCTTTCCAGAGACTCGTTCATCCAACGAACAGGCGAGGCTCTGGAACACACTGCCAAGGGAGGTGTTCCCCAAGGCATATAACCTCCAGAAATTTAAGAAGAACATCAATTCCTACCTCATTTCCCTTGGTTCTCACGATGCTCTCTGAACATTACAAAATATTTCTTTTTGTGAGAGCCAGAACATTAAAAAAAAATGTAATGACAGGAACAACCCTGCTCCTGAAATCAACATGATCAGGTACTTATTTGAAAAAGGTGTTTGTTTTAAATCCTATTCAAAATCCATTCTCTATCTCTTTCCAACTCGAGTTATGCTATTATTGTTAATGAAAATCCAATATGGCGCCCATATGAACAAATAAAGTTGGTGATGGTGGCGTAGAGATGAAACGTCGGATAGTGAATCTGACTTTCACCTATCACATAATCTGACCAATTACAAGCCAGAGACAAAGTGTGCTTATCATAAGTAAATCACGCGATGTTCTGAATATTCCATCATATAATTCTGTTGCTTCATTGTTCACGAAATTGTGTTGCCAATTGAGTTAACAATGAAAGACAGAATTATGAGACGATAATAATAATAATAATAATAATATTTATTTTCCAATAGGACATAGTTACATATGTATAGGAATGGTCAAAGACAGTAAGAAAAAGAGACATGCAAAACATGGAACAAAAAAAAATAATACGAACAGAACGACGAAGATTCTACATAAATATTCATTATTTTACACGTTAAAATATTCATCCAAAGAATAAATGCAATTCTTAGTAAGAAAACATTTCAAAGCTGTGCTAAACTTTCTAATATCACTATAATTTTTAATTTCATTCGGCAATCTGTTATAGATCATCACACCCATATAAGAAGATGAGTTTTGCGAGACTTTATATTTATAAAATGGGATATGGAAATTATTTTTTTGTCGTGTATTGACATTATGCAGATTTCTATTGAGATTAAATTTTGTTTTGTTCATGAAAATGAAAGTACATATTTCATAAATATACAAAGAAAAAAGTGTCAATACATGGTATTTCAAAAACAATCCTCTACAAGAGTGGGTAGAAGGAACGCCTGCCACTATTCTCAATATTCTTTTTTGCAGAGTAAATACGTCATTAACAGAAGTTGAGTTGCCCCATAAACAAATACCATATCTAATTCGGGACGCTACCTGCGAGTGATACAAGGATAATAATTGAGGATCCTCCAAGACTTGTCTGAGATTCCTGAACAAATAACATAAAGAATTTAATTTTTTGGTTAGACTTATACAGTGATTTTTCCAGTTGACATTCTCATCAATCACCAGACCCAGGAAATTGGCTTCAGTGGCATTGTCAATTGACACGTCATTGACACAGACAGTTAATATGGGGAGCATTTTCTTTGCCAGTTGTGGAATTTCACAATTTGTGTTTTAGAGGCATTCAGATATAAAAAGTTCAAGCTACACCATTCATATAAAGAGTTCAATACTTGTTCACTATTCTGTTGTGTTTTAGCTTCATTCACATCCGATACGATATTTAGAACAGAGTGGTATTTTGCATAAAAAGCATAATAAAATGATTGATTCATCCTGACAAGAACAACCGTAATCATCTTATGACCTCCATTAAGCTACACACATATGAAACTTCCCTTTCTCTGCTCCCTTGATGTATGAAAAGCTATCATTTCAGGCGATTTTGTTGCTGCTTTCAACACATTTTTGGAAATCTCGAATTTGGTTGAGGAACTACCTTGTAGTGGCCACAAAGCAGAAATACTCCTGAAGTGTGAACTAAATAGTGTGTTTCTATTACTCATACTCCGTCCGAGTCCACAAAAATTATCGCCGAATTTGGCAAAGATCTTGGAGAAATATACCTGGGGTGATAAAAACGACAACAGCTTGAAAGGTTCGTTTCATCTAAGGTCCCTACGAATTCACTCCAGAATTTATTCGTTTTTTTTTAGCTTGTAGAATGAAAGAAGATACATTTTTGCTACTTCAGTCACTAGTGACGATATGTCAGTCTCTAGATACAAGTAGCCTCGTGGATTTAGAAACAGATTTTTGGAAAATATTGTCCAAAGAAGAGAAGGAGTTGCTGAGAATATTAGTGAAAACTTATCAGATGTAGAATGATTATATTTAAAGTTACCTATTATCGATCCTATCATCAATGTTGAAATGAACCTACTACACACACTGGCCCAATTAGGGGAACGGGTAAAATTTACACTAAGTTTGACATCAATTTTCTCTCGAACCGATCACTCGATTCAAATTTGTTTTTCACGAATAGTAGCTTCATTCTTCATGAATACATCTGAGAAATAACCACCTCCAAACGATTCGTCTTTATATCATATACAGGGATGTAAAGAAAGTACGGATTTTTCGGTATTCTTTAAGACATCCTGTGGAGTGAACCACTGATAATTGAAACGATTTTCCAAAACCAAATTATAGCCCAATCTATCCTGAATATTTTCGTTTTTTATTTATCTTGATATCCCAATTATCCAAGAAAATATAGAGGTTCAAAGAAGAGGTGGATATTGGTATTAATTTTACCACCTCGAAACTCGAACTGGGGAGAACGTGTCGTTTTTCAACTTGTTTCTGTGAGTTTACTTCAAGATGAGAATTGTTCACAGTTTTACCTATCGGTTTACTGTTTAAAGACACATATACGAATACTCTCATGAATATGCAGGGGTGATAAAAGTTGCTCCAATGTTCTTTTGGTGAAATGCTATTTTTGTTAATCAACGTTGGCTATTTTGTTAATGTCATTAATTATTGTCAAAGTCAAGCGATTCACAATTCATTAATTTGATTAATGAAAATTCAATGTGAGAGATTTGACTCCTACTGATGTGGCGAGGGCTGTAGCATTAATTGAAAATGACCAGTGGGCCAATGTTCTTTTAACATATGAGAGCCGCATCTGCACCAATTCAATAGATGGCAGGGAAAGACTATATGAGGTGAACAAAATGAACAATTTGATTTTACTGCTTATTCTGTCTCCTATGGCAGAGGTTTAGTCATGGTTAGGTTAGATTAGTCAAGAAACGACACATTTTCAGATCCAATTTGAGTTTTGAGGTGTAAAATTGATACCAATATCCACCTTTCCTTTGAAACTCTGTATTTTCTTGAATAATTGAGATATCAAGATGAATAAAAAACGAAAATATTCGGAATAGATTGGGCTCCAATTTGGTGTTAGAAAATCGTTTCAATTATCAGTGTTTCAGTCCACAGGATGTCTAAAAAAATACCGAAAAATCCGTACTTTCTTTACAGCCCTGTATATGATGGAAAGACTCATCGTTTGAAGGTAATTATTTCTCAGATGTATTCTTGAAGAATGAAGCTACATTTCGTGAAGAAAAAAATTTGAATCGAGCGATCGGTTCGAAAGAAAATTGATGTCAAACTTAGTGTAAATTTTGCCCGTTCCCCTAATTGTGCCAGTGTGTGTATTACGAGAAGAAAATTATGAAATTAAATATTATATATTACCTATAAAATGACGTTTTTTTGGCTAAACTATAGCAATAAGCGTGATTTTGGTTTGGAGTAAATTAAACAAAGTGAAAGTTGGTATTGAAACGTAATGAATAACCCTGTATATACTTGACTATAATTATAAATTTGTTTCTACACGATTGTCCATATTTTACGTTATCTAGTCGTGAGTTGAGCTGTTATATATTATCTGAAATTATTTTTATCAATATCACTTGAAAATATATATAAGTGTATCTGATTTATAAAAAAAATAGTCCGAAATAATTGAGTTATAGGAATCACATCCATATTGTAAAAAATGAAGAAACAAGATTATTTAGTGTTCGTCGAAATACTACTTGCTGTTGGCAATCTCGTGACAGGTGAGTATAAAGTTTTCAACTATATATAGGTACCTATACAGGGTGTAAATTTGAAAACTTCCAATGCGAATATCTCGCGAAAAAAAAAGTTAGAAAAACGCCGTTTGGCAAAAATGCTAAAGAGTTAAAGGGAACTAGAACTACCATATTTCGGTCAAGGGATGAGTCACCCCGTCGGCGCGACACACCGCAACTTTGAAATGTCAAATGGCCCCAGACAGCGCCAGATATTCCATGAATCTCCCTTTCATATTCCTTTTGGAATATTGGAATATTCTAGAAATAATCTGGAATATTCCGGAATATCTGTGGAATATTCTCTAAATATGCGAATGGGAATTCCTCAGATAATCATAGAATATACCCAAAAGAATATTCTATGTTGAATGTTCCTGGAATATTCCAATAAACATATTCTAAAATAAAAAAAAGTGACCCAAGTGGGGATCGAACTCGTGACCTCAAGACTATCAGAGCAACGCCTTGACCACTAGGCCAGTAATCGAATTGAATAATGTTATACATATCAAGTTCTTGTGAGAGCATTGTTCGAAATCGGGTCATAAACACTTACATCTAATTGATGTTCGATACTCACATCTCTGAAATAATAAATGGTATTTATATGTTGAGAAACATAGGAATATTCATGGAATATTTCATGAATATACACCACAGAATATTCAGTTGAGAATATTTCATGAATATACCGCACAGAATATTCAGTTGGGTATATTTCATGAATATACCGCACAGAATATTCAGTTGGGTATATTTCATGAATATACAACAGAGAATATTCAGTTGGGAATATTCCTGGAAGATTCATACCTGAATATTCCCTGAACATGTCCGACTATTCACTTTGGAATATTCCGTTTAGATGTTCCAGAGGCATGTATATATTCTAGGAATAATCGATGAATATTCGGAATATACTCCTCCTTTTTAGCATATTTAGAGAATATTCTATGAATATCCAGTGCTGTCTGGGGCACTACCTCTTTTGTGATGCCTCAAATGAACAGTCTCAGTCAGTAGTATTCACCTGTACAAGACTTTTTTTTCCACCCACTACAGGGTGTACGAAAAATATAAAGTCGAATAAAATAAAATGAATTGTGTTAAAAGGATATTTTATTTGATCAGATGTTCAAAGTGCATTCCATTCTGTTGTAAGCAATAGTATAATCGATGTTAAAATGCCATTCTAACATTTTGGAACACATCTCTTGGAATATATCGGCATTCTGCATTTTACTTTATTCGACTTTATGTTTTCCGTTCACCCTGTAGTGGGTGGAGATCGAATAATTCTTGTACAGGTGAATACTACTGACTGAGACCGTTCATTTGAGGTATCACAAAAGAGGTAGTGCCATTTGACATTTCAAAGATGGAGTGTGTCGCGCCGACGGGGTGACTCATCCCTTTACTGAAGTATGGTGGTTCTAGTTCCCCCTAACTCTGTGGCATTTGTGCCAAACGGCGTTTTCCTAACTGTTTTATTTAGCGAGATATTCCATTGATTTTTCCAAATTTAGACCCTCGAATTAATGTTTTTCGTACACCCTGTAGTGGGTGGAAGAAAAGTCTTGTATACAGGTGAATACTACTGACTGAGACCGTTCATTTGAGGTATCACAAAAGAGGTAGTGCCATTTGACATTTCAAAGTTGGGGTGTGTTGCGCTGACAGGGTGACTCATCCCTTCACTGAAATATGGTGGTTTTAGGTCTTCCTAACACTTTAGCATTTGTGCCAAGCAGCGTTTTTCTAACTTTTTTATTTCGCGAGATATTCGATCGCATTGAAAGTTTTCAAATTTACACCCTGTATATCAAAGTACTGAAAAGGAATATTCTCAGAAATGGAATAAATTCGATAATGAATAAGCAGAACACATCGATCGATACTTTTGGAAGCGAATCCTATTCGACAAAAAACTTTCTATACAGATAGTGTGTCATATGTAACATCGGCCAATACAAACTGTCTTATTTTGAAGTAACACCCTGTATTTCTTCAAATGTTTGAATTCTTGTGAAATTTCTAGACATATTTGGTGATGTACAATGTTCTATACCATCTTCAACTGTTTCGGAAATATGTTTCATTTATACAGGGTGATCCACGGTGCCCAGCGAGCACAAAAACATCTCAGAGATGTTAAAAGTACATGTTACACATGAATAGAACTATTATAGAACATCCAATGTCCGCCGCAGGCGGCAATTATCGAGATGTCCTTGATATGTCACAAAACTACCTTCTCCCTAGTTCTTTTTAAAGCCTTTTCATGGACACAACAAAACATTTTCAACGCGTCTTGCGCACATAAAATCGCTGTAAAAAAACATTTTCGAGGTACTTTTCTGAAGCCTTTTGTCAAAATGAACTTTTGCATTATAGGATTCAATTTCCCTTGAATGAAAAAATGCATTAAAAATAGATTGAACATAAAAATATTTTCTTGATATGAAATTACCTTCTTAATCGGTTTCTGAGTAGTGCTTACTACACACAGACATATAATTGGAAATAGGTTTCCCAATTTTTGAAATGTTCTCCACAATGCATAATTTTGCAACTGCGGAGAAGCTGTGTATTGATAAAATCGTACTTTTATATATTTATTACACTGAGGCACCGAACAACTCATCTGATGGTCATTATATTACAAACGAAATAAGTCTTCTAACACAATAAACTTCACCAAATTCCTTTCTGTTCGTTAGCAGCGTGATGTAAGCGTGACACGCTGCAAACGCGAATGCCAATTGCGAACAAGAAGAACAAAATCGAAAACAAATCAGAATTCATCGTATTGTGACGTAAGCATGAGACGTTGTGGTGGGGCAAACAAAGAAAGGATACGAAAGAACAAAAACAATACTTTCAATATCCTTCTAAGACCTCTTTGGGAAGTGCATATCACGCCTCAAAAAAACATCCTCATGCCTATACATTTCTAAAACATCCCAAAACATCCCAGGGATACCTCTCAGTAGGCAGATAAAGAAATGCCACAGAAGAACAAAAACAATAATACTTCAATATCCTTCAAAGACCTCTCTGGTCAGTGCATATTACGTTTCAAAATATAACATCTTCATGCCAACATTTTCAAAACATCCCAGGGATGTTTGTGCCTCGCTGGGTGGATGACCTATATTAGAAGTATCTGGAGAACGAAAGGACAAAACATTCTGAAAATTGGGATGCTTTGATAATTGAACATTCTCTATCCGTCTAAAATAATTGCATCGATACAGCGTTGCCTCTTCTATCAGAAACAACTAGCAACTTTGTTATTTCAAATGGAACACCCTGCCCAGCAAACATTGAACTATATAGCGGGAGAAGTCCGGCCTAGTGCAGACTAGTCTGGGAAAGTGACGATGCCAGGGTATTGGTGATGGGCCGACGATTTTCCTATGCCAAGTAACCATCAGTTAAAAATACGATGATGGCCTTGTGATGGTGAGATGTCTGGAACTGATTGAATACTAACGAGATCTGGCCCTTTGCTGGCCAATTTCATGTTCGCTACTCGTCCCTCTGGTGAATGTTCTGGGATCGTCTACATCAACAATCAGCTGATCAATATTATATGTGGCTTTGTGACTAAGATGTTCTGACTCTCGTGAGTGGTGATCGCGTACTAGTTTGTTTATGTCGAATTAATGTGGTCCTCTCTTTCCCTGGTGGTTATTTATGATGGCAAGAGTATTCTCAATTGGTAATAATAGAAGACAGATTTTTGAATTATGATAATATTGAGTAAGTATCAATCTACCTACATAGTGTTTCAAATTTCATTATTAAATGCATGTGTTTGGTATCTCGTAACCTCATACTTATACCTAATGATCATTATAATTGGAGTTGGCTATACTTCTCCAGAAGCAACTATCATTTTTAACTCGTTTGTTGCTATCAAAATCAATCTCAGGTTATGTGAAGAACTAAATAACAATGAGGTTTCAGCTACAGAAATACCTGTGCCAAGAAAATAATGAGAATTCAAAAGCTTCATGTTATCACGTCATCAGACTATATTACTAAGTTATAAACTCATGCAATTCTTAGGCTACTAATATAAAACAAATGATGAATTTTATATTTCAGGAGTACCTAGCTCATAACGAAGAATAAACTTTGAAGGAATGCTATACCCAATAGGATGTAGATACCACATAAGCAGTCAGTCCGAGAAGTTTCATCGTTGAAGAACAGAGAGGTTAAGAAGACATCATTGTGTCATTCATAAAATTGTTTTCTTGAAATCAGGTATGTCTGATTTATGATGAGAGGGTTATATTGTGAAATAAAGAGGTACTAGAACTTTCAGACCCATTTGACCCCTAAAACCCCTACCCTACCTCGATAGTATGTAACCAATGTCGTTAATTGGCCATTACAGTCCCATCATTTATGTATATGCTGAGCTTGCTAACCAGCGAGCACACAAACATCTCAGAGATGTTAAAAGTACGAGATTTTGAGACATTGAACCTCCACTGCGATGTTCTGTTTACACATGAATAGAACTATTATAGAACATCCAATGTCCGCCGCAGGCGGCAATTATCGAGATGTCCTTGATATGTCACAAAACTACCTTCTCCCTAGTTCTTTTTAAAGCCTTTTCATGGACACAACAAAACATTTTCAACGCGTCTTGCGCACATAAAATCGCTGTAAAAAAACATTTTCGAGGTACTTTTCAGAAGCCTTTTGTCAAAATGAACTTTTGCATTAGGATTCCATTTCCCTTGAATGAAAAAATGCATTAAAAAGAGATTGAACATAAAAATATTTTCTTGATATGAAATTACCTTCTTAATCGGTTTCTGAGTGGTGCTTACAACACACAGACATATAATTGGAAATAGGTTTCCCAATTTTTGAAATGTTCTCCACAATCCATAATTTTGCAACTGCGGAGAAGCTGTGTATTGATAAATTCGTACTTTTATATATTGATTACACTGAGG